ATTTGGCAGTAAACCCGCTTCGTTGTTGATCCGGACTCTGATTTGACAGTCTGAATCCTAATATGGCAGCAAATCCGCCTCGGTGTTTGAGTTCAAATCCGTTCTATGGTTGGATGACTCGTTGACTCGCCAAACTGTTAGCTTGATTCCGCATGCGAATGGATGTATTCCATTGTTTGCGTGCGGTTCGTTATCCTCGTCGCCTCGTTAATCCGCTACGTTGCGTGTCACTTGGCTTCGGCGTTGTGGACTGACGCTCGTGTTTGGATATGTCGCCCGATGGTTCGTCGGTTTGTGCCGAGCTGTGCTAAGGGACCTATAAGCAATTTTATACACCTACAGAGGCCCGCGGGTTCCACCTCGTCTGGCCTATGTATCGAAAGGAAAACCCGATAATTATTATGGCTATAAAAGGGGTCTAGGCTACGCCTCTTCATCCGATGAAGAATGTTGCTGGCAAGTCTTCAACCAATTAGAAAATAAGAATGAATACTCTTCCGACTCTTCCAATTAGGATTCCGATGTCAGTCTTGGAGAAATATTCAAAAGCCTGATGTCGAATATGACCACGGTCGATCATGCCACCATGGAGGAAGATGATCAATTGCCAACTTAGGAAGACTCGTGAATTCATCACCTGAGTATTCAGTATGGGGACCGGTTCGAGCAAAGGGAACCTGCCACTGAAGATAAAGTGGTCTAGGTGAACAGTATTCAGTATGGGGACCGGTTCGAGCAAAGGGAACCTGCCACTGAAGATAAAGTGGTCTAGGTGAACATGGGAGACGAAGCGAATCCAAAGCCCATATTTGTTAGTAATAGTCTTCCACCAGACGAGAAGGAAGAATTGGTTGCCCTCATCAGGGAATACATAGACGTTTTCGCTTGGAATTATGAAGATATGCCAGGACTTGATCCAAACGTTGCAGTCCATTGCCTTAACATAAAATCGGATGCAAAATCTGTCAAGCAACAATAAAGACGGTTTTGTCTGCAGATTATGGAAGCAATCGAGTCGGAGGTTAAAAAGTTAATCGACTCGGGTTTTATCAGGGAAGAGAAACATCCTGATTGGCTGGCAAATATCGTATCGGTCCTTAAAAAGAACAGGAAAATTGGGATCTGTATCGACTTTAGAGACCTGAACACGGCTTGCCCAAAGGACGATTTCCCTCTTTCGATCACGGATGTTATTATAGACAACACGTGCGGATTTGAGAGAATGTCTTTCATGGACGGGTTTTCGGGTTACAATCAAATCAAGATGTACCCGGACGACGAAAAACACACCGCATTCAGGACACCTCTCGGTGTCTTCTACTACACAGTCATGCCTTTCGGATTGAAGAACGTAGGTGCTACCTATCAACGAGCAATGTCTAAGATTTTCCAGCAACACCTCCGGAAGACCGTTGAATGCTATGTCGATGACCTGGTCGTGAAAAGTTGTAACAAAGATGACCATATACAAGATTTGAGGATGATGTTTGATCTCATGCGCACTCACCAGTTAAAGATGAATCCCACCAAGTCTTTCCTTGGAATGTCTAGCGGTAAGTTTCAAGGATTCGTCGTCACCACGAAAAGTATCCGCATTGACCCCGACAAAGTGAAGGCAATAAATGAATTGCAAGGATTCGTCGTCACCACGAAAAGTATCCGCATTGACCCCGACA